AGAGAGGGAGTGAGAGGGGAATGGAAGGAGGGGGAGATGGAGGGAGGGGGAGAAAGGAACGTTAGAGGGGGAGGGGAAGTAGTAGAGGGGAATGCTGAAGGGGAGAAATGAAAGTTGGAGGGGGAGAAAGAAAGGGTGTATGGAGGGTTGAAGTGTCATGTTGGTTTTGTATTTTGGAATATAAGAAGAGTTGTGTTTATTGTTTCCTTAATCGCACAGTATATAAGTGATTGTATAAAATGAAAATGAAAATGAAATAAAACATATTAAAAAGAATAAAATGTTATCGGCTGATTTGTTCCTTAATGCTGCCCAAGGGACAGCACCCTCCATCATGTCTCAGCTATCTGAGGGGGTAGTACACAGCAATGTATTTAATAGAAATAAGCATCTGGAAAAAATAGAGAATAAACTACTGAAGCTGTTGCTCCTTTCTCCTCTAGCATATATCCAGGTATTAAAACCAGAGATAGCAGTCTCACTCTGCCTAACAGTAGGCCGGTCTTAAAAATAGTTACATTTATATGGCAAAGATATTCTGCTGACTGGAATTTGATTTCTAAGTGTAGATACTTTTAAAATATTGTATGACTCTTCCTCCCTTAACATTTCTTGTCTTCTATTTGAAGAAATGTATTCCCTTACTATTTGTATTCCAATCAACAAACCATGTAATAAATTTAATTTCACTTGCTCTCCTATAGTTAAAGAATTCCGTCTCATTTTGTTTTTTCCCCATATTGTGAGCAGTCGACAAACATTGTGCTTTACAAGTCATTTTCCCCACTGATTTTTCACTGAGCTTAATAAGCCGCATTATAGAAACATTCCATTTTCCTTATCTTTACCTTTTTATCTGGTATCCTTATGTCAAGATTTGATCTTCTACATCTCAAAGAATTAAAAGCTCAGCACATTTAGTTAAAACACATTTTTATCAATCCTTTCGAGATGCAATTCATCCCAACCAGCAATTCTTCACTCATTTAACTCAAGTCATAACTTCAGATGTCATATGATTTTAATTTATGCCATCTGCCTTCCCAGTTACACACTGGTGTTTATTCTTCTTTCCCTTTCTAGTTATCTTCTAGAACTGAATGGATGATAAGTCTGTCTGAGTCCTTGGTACTTGAATATCTTTTCTAGATCTTCCAAATAAATGATAAAATGGTAATTATTCTTTTTCATATTATATGCTCCTACGTGGGCTAGCAGGAAGAGAGGTATCATTGGTGACATCCCTGATCTTTGATCCTGACATGCAACACACTTCATAAATGATGGCTCCAATTAACACATATTTATTTGGCTCCTCATTGTAATGAGTGCCAGTTATAACAACTGTGCTTATTTTCTTATCTGGCAAGGTGTATCTCCTCTACTTTTCAGGGACCCGTTATTAAGGCAGGAGAATCTGATCTAGCAGAAGTGAATTTTTTGCAAATAGATAAATATAGAGAATGTAACATTGTAAATGTCTTCAATAGATGAAATACATCTGTGCTCTTTTTGTTAGCTTTCCCCCATTAGGATGCATCTTCTCTATTTCTTATTTATTTAATTTATAAGCTTGTTTATTTATTTCTGTAAGTCTTCTCTGCAGCAGAAGGGAGAAGCACTGGAACTTTGAAGTAGAAGTCAGTACCATTTCCTGCCTGGTTAATGGAGACAGCCAATTTTCTGTTGTAGCTGCTGTTCAGAATGGCAATTAAGATATAGTTTCTTGTTGAATTCATCCAAGTTTCTGTGAAGCTATAGTCTAGTTTGGGTAAGCCTGACATTCATCATCCTGTCTCCTGTTTCACACTGTCTGTTTTTCTTCCCCTGAGGGCTTAAAACCGGTTTCTCCTAAGAAACAGCCTGGAAGCCATTCCAGCAGGACTCAAAATCAATGTTTTTTAAGGTCTACTACAAGCTTGCACTTGATTAGCCTGTCATGTCCATCTAGCCACTGTTGTCTGAAAACCTGGTTTATAATTACAAAACTGAATAGAGTAATCAGTTATTATGGAATTCATGGCTTAGCATGATAAATTTTATAAGATCAAATCGAGTATCAAGCTTGAACTTGCAATCTCACTTATATTAATTCCTTAATCAGCAGCAAACCATGATTACTTGAACTTGTCAAACCCCCATTATCCCTGCTTAAACATTTACTTGTTTGCATTTATGCCCTTCTTTCACAGAAGGAACTGCTCTGCCACACACACACACACACACACACACACAGACAAACACACACACACACACACACACACACA